CTCTTTCGCGAACGCCCGGTTTCAGTTATCAACGGTCAAATTGATTTTCAAATGTCATTTGAGTTGCCAAAAGGACATTTGAAAAGCCATTTGACAACCGATAAGTTGACTTCTACAATGGTCAGTGTTTCTGAAGCTTACGGCTTCTACGGCCGGGAGGACGTTTCATAAAAATGACATTACAAATTTGAAAATCATCTATAGTTCGGTGTCCGGACGCTCGCTTTAATTCTTTATGCTCGAGGGACCTAAGTTCAATCCCCCATTTTTTATTTTTTTTATTTTGATTAATTTTAATATTTACAAGATTAAATCTATCTAAAATGCCATGCAAGCACCAATGAAGTTGTAAACTTTGACTTATCACTCAGCGGTGCTCAGCGGTGAAAGAAAACATCGTGAGGAAACCTGCATAATTTCGAATTAATAACAAAAATATTTCGAACATATTCACATATTTTAGCACAGTCCGCCAATGCGGCGTTAGACTATGCTCTAATACCCTCTGTACAGAAGAGGCTTTTGCCCAGCAGTGGGACATTTATACGCTGTTAGCTTACTTTACTTACTTTTACTATAATTAGTTATTCGTTTCTTTTGGATCCTTATCTTAGCTTTGTCAATTGACTTAACTTGACGGGGATCTGGTCAGTAAGGATTAATTTTTTTACATTTGTATATATTTTTTGTTTGTATACAATATTTTTTACGTTTGTATATAACGGTTTACATGTTTTCGTTTGTTAACTCAGAAGTTCGTGATTTATGAACCAATTTTAAAACTTATTTTTAATCATTGGGTTTCAGGTTTGCTCGTGTGGCCCCATATTAATTTCATTGGTAGTGTATTTAGTATACTTCCCAGAACTGATAAAAATCAAACAGAAAATGAAATGAGTGTGATTTGGCTTTTAACACTAAGCTAAACAAACAGCTAGTAGCTACACCGACGAATATCGGAACACATTATATTCTATGTACATTTTTTTACATTTTAAGCAATGTTTGACGCATCTATTGTTACGTTCTTTATGGCACACAAATATTTCAAATAAAGTTTTACAATGACGATTTCTATTTGAAAGTTAAAGTTTTATTGTGCTAATATATATAACGGGTAAAGTTTTCGTAGGCTAGTTAAGATCCTATCTGGAAAGTATACATATATGCTTTGATAATTTAAATCGATGAAGACAAATTATCAAATGCACTTAAAAATAAATCATTTTAATGAAAGATTGAACAACCCGACGAGCAACCGATAAACGCAGGACTGTAAAGGATAATTTTTACGTAACGTTACGTTTATATCTTTTAAAACAATTTAGGCTTTTAAGGCCTAATGTCTGAGATGTAGGACTTGCCATCTGCGGTCACAGGTTTGATTCTTATTACTGCCTGAACAGCTATCACGTTTCAGTTGAATTAGCATAAACGATAATATAATTTAATATCATTGATTTTTTTTTCACAAATAAAGGAGAAAGCGTTGGAGTATATTTGAGATTCGTTATTAAATATATTTTTGAAATGTTGCCAATTTCAATGTACATTCAACCTTTGAAATGTCCCACGTTCCGTCGAAAGTAAAACCAACAACGCTCAGGAATGGTTGTTAGATATAACTCGTAACGTTTACCTCCTCTGGAGTTCGGTACGTGATGATCTCACAAGCCGCACTTACCTTAGATACATTGCCGGTACGTGTTGTTCGCAAGCAAACGAATAAAATAAATGAAAACGCACATGAGAAACGAATTTATGTGGTCAAACTACTCTCGGCAGTGTTGGCAAATATGCGGTTGGTTATATTCGATTTGAGTGATTTAGGCAAAATAGCAAAAATCTCTACGTAAACATTTTTTTCCGATTTTCTTTCGTTTAAAAATCAATTAGGCACAAGTTAGTAGTAAGGTGAGAGACTAATCGTTTGTCATTTGTGATGATGTGTGAGAAGGAGGATCTTGCTCCTGTTCTTTTTATCACTGTTGGGAAACTTTTGTTCACTGAAACTGCGTAATGAAAGAGAAAATGTAAAATTGAATATAACCGACGATTATTGTCCAAGTTTTCTCGAATTTCTTTGCATATATTTAAACATGAATGTCCGGTCACTCACTTTTAATTCAATATACTCGCTCTACCCGAGTTCGAATCCTGGTGCCGGCACGAATAACATTTTTAGTTTTAAGTGCTGATTTGTCACGATTTATTCCCTTCAGGAAAACATCGTGAAGAAACCTAGATATTCTCGAAACAATAACAAAAAAAAATGTTCCGAGAATATGTGAAGTCTACCAATCTGCAGTGCGGTCGCGTGGTTAACCATGCCCTTTATTTTTTTTTGTTGGTATCGGGGGGAAATCTTCCGAATATACCCTGTCACGTTACATGACAGGGTTATGTGAGGTTCTTACCCACTAAAACCCCCTCGGTGGCCACCCTCTGTGCGTTTGGAGGAAGTCCGGGATCTCCCACGGAACGCACCGATGTCCCTCAATACTGCGCGTGAGCACTTCCCGGAGAAGGATAGCTTCCCTGGTACTCTCACCATCTTGCAGCAGCTCGAGACCACTTCGAGCTGCTGCCAATCCGTGTCCCCTTTTAGTCGCCTTTTACGACAGGCAGGGAATACCTTAACCCTATTCTATAAGCCCGTGACTACAGGGTTGTGTAACCATGCCCTAACACGAGGCCTTTGCCGAGCAGTGTGACAATTAGGGTGTTACTTTACTTTTCACTTTACTTTAGTTATGAAGCTCTCAGTCAAATCACAGATTTGAAGATAAACATTGTTATTCGGATAATAGACAGGGGCGGGCAAACTGTTTCCGTAGGTTGCTGAACGTGTTATGAAAGATAAATTAACACCTAACAATCGCCCCGTCTTCGATGCTATGTTTATGAATTCGTGTCGTACTCGTATGTTCCGAAAAGGTTAATGTGATCGTGTGATCGTAGATTTAAAAATTTCTAGCTCCCTTTCTTTTAAAACTTTCAATATTAATGTAATAGATACATCAATGTCATGTCCAAATTATTTATACTTAAAAGCCCTAAAAACATAAAAAATGTGCGTATCTTCTTATCATTGATTCTTATAATCTATAGCACACAATACACAATAATTCTTATCTCTAAGCATGTGAAAGCACATTAGTACCTCGATATTGATATCTATGCATAGATATTTTTTTTTTTTTAATTTTTAAATTTTTTTTGAAAGCATAAAATTGATTAAGGAATACATAAAATTATATATACACTATGTAACTTAGGGCAATGTTTATATATATATGTAAACATTTGCCAATGTTCTCTTTAACTTAAGCTTTTGTACTTCAATGTTAAAAGATTTCGACAGTTATTTCAATACCAATTTAGCGGAGAAGTGACTTGAAGAAAACCACATTTTGGAAAGGCAGTGTACTCAAAAATATTAAATGTAGAATTTCACTATCCGGATCGCTCAGTATTATAAATGATGATTTCACATACCTAGGTATGTGTAATCGTCATTTATACATCTTGGATAGATTATTTTTGTACTATTATGTTTACGAAAGTGGTTAAGAGTTGGTCAAGTGAACAATCCATCACCGCAAAAAGCGGAAGTACTGTTGAAGGAGCGCCAAAACTCCGGCATTCCCCTCCCCCTCTCGCCCCGCAAGGGGTACCCGACCTCTAACAACTTGGTGGCGACTCCGCGTTTCGGCTCGCTTCCGGTATCATAAACGTTTAACGCTCAACGCTCCATTGTGATCTGGTTAATAGAGAGTAAATTAATTTTTAACATGAATTTCGACACTTTTTATTAATTATCAAGATTCGAAATACTTACTATGTGTTGACTTCTTGTTTTTACGCGAATTTTTAAAAAATAGTTTAATTTTACACCACTTGCTACGTTTTAACCAGTCGCTTTTTAATTGAAATTGATATATATTTTCTTACAGCTATTGCCAGGGATAACAGAATAAAACAGTGTGATGAAATAATACATAATTATGTAAAATTTGAAAGCCTCCATAGGTAACTTCATATCTCACAGCAGTAAAAAATTCCTAAGAATAATTCGCATTTCATTGGTCAATGTTATTTAGGCAAGAGTTTGAATGAGATGGTTTACAAATATGTAATGAAGGTTTTTAAATCTTGATGCATCAAATACGATCATAGTTTGTAATTACTTTATTATTTTTTGTAATTAATTTTATTTTTTTATTACGGCTTACCAACTTAGGCATAATGTTGTAAAAATATAAATGTACATATTTCAACACACAAACTTGAATCAAAATTATTTTATCTCTATTAATTAAAAAGTATAGAATAGAATCTAAAATACTAGGTAATTTGTATATTATTCGTAAATAGAAACCGCTTTATATTTTAAGCTTACCTTACAAACAAACATAACTATTTTCTACTTATATTTGTTAGTGAAATGGAAAAGTTCACACGCATTGGTCGCTTCAACAATCCTCAACCGGTGGCGTAGTACTGACGAAGCAAAAGTTAATCACGGCAGTTCTTACAGTATTGATTGAAGCTCACTGGGTCACGAATGAACCTCTACTTCATGTATGTACATTGAAAACATTGTACTATGTATAGCGACGTATTAAAATCAAATGTTGTTAAAATAAGACTGTTTTATAATTAAACTAGCTGCTACCCGCGACTACGTCTGCGTAGAATAGGCTGAAGGCGTAACATTCAGACATAAAGAGGGATATACATAAAAATATGTATATAAGTTATAGCCTATGTCTTATTCTGATATATAAGCTATATTAATGTAAAGTTTCGTTAAAATCCATTCAGTAGTATATGCGTGAAAGAGTGACGAACATCCATCCATACATACAAACTTTCGCCTTTATAACATTAGTAAGGATAAGGATATGTACATTCGACTTGAGTTATTAGTTTAGTTGGCAGCTGTGCCACGGAGTCGTCATACGTTTTCCACTTGCTGAATGTGAAAATCATTTCAGGAGGAGCTTCGTGACAACCTAACAGTGAGCGTGATGAGCTTCGTCCCGACACTGGATGACGACGGCAAACCACTGACCTGCAGAGCGGAGAACCCCAACGTGACCTCGCTATTCCTGGAAACGTCTTGGGTTATCAGCGTCGTGTGTGAGTATTTAGGCAGCTTTACCATTCTCGCTTTTGACCTTTCCTCTTACCATGACCGTTGTGAGCTTATTTTAGTCATGGACGAACTGTTTTTAATTAAAATAAGCTTCAACCTCGAAGTACAGGACGATAACACCGGTACGGAAATGTGTCAAAACTACTCGTATAAAAAAAAATTCAAAAGTACAGATAAATATTTGGGGCTATATTGATTGCCTAAGTGTGTAAAAACCCTATTTAATTTAAAAAAAAAAGATCTTGATGTGTTCGGTATGGACAATTCGTATTGATGTTGATGGTGCTTCTTTTGAAAATGTTTTTTCTCCAATTATATTATAGGTATAAGTTTAGAGAGTGCCTACCGTTTTCTTATCTTAAATTTATGCAAAAACATGCATTTAGTTACCATTTGTAAAATTGAATCTTTGCATATCATCAATGTAGGTGTAATCTGATTGACATTGATCAGAGACGTCCTTACACATGAACTATCATAATCCCCTATTACTTTGGGTAAATGATAATCTCGATAACCTTAGACGCTTGAATAACCACCTTTAGTACCATACATACAAAACAACTTTTCCTATGGACGAACGAAATTAACGCGAGGTGCGATTTCTCGTATTGTGATCGCAGATTCGTCTAAATCCACCTAATTTGGCAGAGGATTATCTTTGGCTTTGCTGCATTAAAGGTATTCATTAGTAGAGTTAATCTTGACAATGCTGGAAAAGTAGCGAAATTATTAATTGACTTTTGCTGCAGTCTGGCATTTATCGTAAGTGAATTTAAAAATTGTTTCACTGTTTGTTTTCTGCAAAAACGTCTAGTTTTATTATCCCTGTTATTACTCCACAAACGGTCGATAGATATGGCTTGAAAATTTGAATAAACTCCTTTGTAGTTCGCGAATTGTTTCTATGTGCACCAAAACTTAAGAGGCGTCCATTAATCGTGTGATCGTTCAGATCCGCCGGTGGTGCGGCTGAGGCTGGGGAGTTCGTTAGCGGCCGGCGACATCAAAGAGGGCGACGACGTGTACTTCGAGTGCCACGTTCGCGCCAACCCCCCCGCCAGGAAGCTCTCCTGGCTGCACGACGTAAGCGATCCTTCCCAAATTGGCGCAACAAATCCCCAGGCGGATTCGCGACCCGTACACCTTCTCGAGTCGAGTGTCACGTAGGATTTAAGTCGGGTTATTTGTGTTGGACCAGTTTTTTTTTGAGAAAAGTTGCCAAACGAGCGGACGGTTCACCTGATGTTAAGTGAATGACGCCGCCCATGGGCACCTGCTATACCCGAGGGTTCCAGATGCGTATATCATGCTTGCAGTATATCATGAGCTGCATATTTTGCTCATTTAATTTTATTCTGTATCTGATTTCTTTGTAAGCATAATTTGGTGTTAAAATTTGTAGAAAAAGTACGAAAATATTGTCGCCGCTGTGGGAATCGAACCCAGCATTCGCGGCCTGATGCTCTATCCACTGCTGGAGCGTCAGACTGCAGGAGCATTGATGAGCTAAACAGCTGATCGCCACACCGATGAAAATCTTAACGTATCTACATTGTTTTTTTTAGCATTTGAAGCAATGCTTAGCGCATCCATTGTTATATCCTTTCCAGCATTCAAACAATTTCGTATATGGTTTTACAACGATAATTCGAACAAGAGATATCGTCATTGAACATTAAAATTTGTAGAAAAAGTACGAATTGATAATTTGGTGTTCCAATGAATTGATATTAAATTATCGTCTAAAATTAGTCGTCTAATTGATATTTAAAGACGTAATCAGTTAATCGTATTTATTAATTGTTGAGGAATATCATACCCCTTATTTTGAAAATCGAAGAGAGAAGAATAGGAGAATCGCACCTCTTAAGAATTATTGAAAAACACAAAATGTGAGGTATGCTTTAAAGCAGCATCAAATAATAATATTTTTTGTCGTTAACTTTTATACTTATGACTCAGTCGTATGTTTGAGCATTTACCGATTTTGAGTATCCACATGTCTTAACTAGATTGCATTGCATGTTCAAAAAAAACTTGAATATCATAAAAGCTTCACACGGCCTCGTCCTTGTTATGATTATTACAGACTTTTTTCTTTGCTCCTATCTCCTTGATGCCCACGAGGGCTAATTAGTCGCGCTTTGTTACGTGGGACGTGGCTCACATTACAAGCGCCGTTGTTTCTGAGCATTAGCGTTATTAAACGACTGGGTTATATTATTGCTGTGATGACATCACTTCGATCAATCTATTGTACTGGAGAGGAAGTTTCAAAGTAGCGCGGTTTTCAGTTATTGCGTGTTATTTAATCCTTATTCCGGATATTAACTGAAGGCGGCCGAATGTATTTCGTTTGATCTTAATTATAAGGTAGATAACGATGTATCAAAAACAAGGTGTTCAGCAACGATCTATGTTAGCAGAAATAAGCAACTGCAGAATATTTATATGAAAATTTGTATAATATCACAATATACTTGAAAACCTTCTATTGTCTTCTTCTGGGTTAGAAGGAATAACTTGAGATGCAATAAGATTATTTATCGACGTCATTATTAAACAATAGTGGATAAGTTTAATTATAAGGCTATATACACTATAGTAGGAATGGAAAACAGCTACAGTAAATGTTTACGCTCATCAGGAGCAGTGAATGAAATTCAATCAGAAACCACTTTTAATTTCGCCATTACTGAAGTACATCAATTAAATTTAGATGCTTTAAGAACATCGTGACGTCGTAACAAGGTCAAACGGCTCAGAAAATTGGTTCCCCCAATATTGAGTGAAAATTGGGGAATCTGGAAATGAAAAGAAATGCAAATTGGATTGGGTGGCCTTGTAGACGCGTCTGCGCCTCAATCCACCGGATTTGGCTTTACTGTAGGATTTAAATAAGAAATGTCGTTATATATTCTTCTCGGGACTCAGGTGTGAAATTAAAATTCACGGCAAAAATATTCAACAAGAAATATCGAAGGGAAAATGTTTTAATCCTAAACTAAGGAAACCTTTATTAATCGTGTTGTGCGAAAAGAATCATGTGGCTCTTAACAGCTGTTACAGGTCGAAGAAAGAATTCACTTGTCTACTTTTATCTATACATGAATGAAAATAAATAATAAAACCGGCCAAGTGCGAGTCGGACTCGCGAATGAAGGGTTCCGTACCACATCTATAAAAACGGCAAAAAAAATCATGTCTCTTGTATGGGAGCCCAACCCAAATATTTTGTTATTCTGTTTTTAAGTATTTGTTGTTATAGCGTCAACAGAAATACATGATCTGTGAAAATGTCAGCCCTCTAACTATAAGGGCAGAAAGTGAAGTCTTAGGGTTCCGACAAAACGAAGATTGGTTATCCAGCGTAATGCATATTTGATGTAATATAAATTTATTATATCATGTACTTTGTATATAGCCCCAGGTTCAAAAAATGTACTTGATATTTGCAAAAGACAAAATTTTAAATTCTTGGTTGCGTAATTAAGATTATCTTCCCACAATTCGATATTTTCTATTCAAATAAATGTTTAAAAAAAGTTTGTACACCCTTCGATTTACTTCCGTGGTAATTTTGTTGTACTGGTATGTGTTGATTCATATATTTTTCTTTTTTTTCTCTATTTAATAGTACTTTACTGAAATATGATGCTTATGTGTTTATCAAAAAGCCATTTGATAGATATAGACAATCGTAATCAAAACGTTTCATGAAAATTTAAAGGCGCCAAAAACAGAAAGGCAATTTTAAATTCATTTCACGGAAAAGAAACTTGTACCATACAACAATGTAATCCTTTGTCTACGGCAAGAGTACAAGCAATACATATTTTAGACACTTCCTACATGAAAAATAGATTGCACAGGCCAAGTGGGTGCGAACTAGTGTTGAATCTCGCTGTAAGACTTGTCATGACGTTTCTTTGCAATCTTGCACGGAGTTATCTATTATTATTTTTAGACGAAACATTTCGCAAGTGTAATGATTGAAATAAAACTAACTAACAATATTTTGAAATAAAATTGTCTAAGGCAAAAATCATATTTGGTTTTTTTTTTTTTCACTTGATTTTGGTGTCAATCTGCACTAATAAAATATAAAGATGAAATTAAAAATTTGTAATATAATAAAGTTCCACGCTGCATCCGGGTATTGCGCAAAAAGTTTTTTTTCACCGAATTTTCCATATGCATTCAATAAATTTTATCTGATATTTAGCTCTCGGAATGGACATAGTCGTATTTAAATTTTAATTAGAATTATTGTAACAAATAATAATTTGTTACAATAATGCTCATAAACGAATAACTTTTTTGCGCACATAAAAACTGCGTTCTATCCACGCCTTACCACCAGTCCTAGTGAAATGTTCGCCTATTCAAAAACCCATCAGGTACAAGAGGGCGATTGTTCGAATTCCACAAGGGCCCCGCAATCAAACGCGCAGCAAATAAATATTGCTTCGGAGCGGAATTGGCACTTGCATCCTTTTGCTCCGAATACTTTGCCAAGCGTGGAGAATTGTTGCAATGGATAAAAAACGGATAAAATTTGGTAAAATACGGAAATGGACCGTTGTTTTTTTTATAAAAGTGTTTCTATTTTTTCAGAGAAATACGAGTACACTAAAGAACATTTATAATACTCCACTAGAGTTAGAATTGTTTGCAAACATAACAGCGTTGTCAACCCTAATCACAATGGCACACTTTTTATTACACTCACTAGTTGAAACGCAAAAGGCATACCTTAGTATAAGTATAAAAGGTGTGAATGTTATTTCTAGACTGACGTATGTAAGAGGCAAGCGGAAATTATTGTTATAATTATCAGTGTTACTGGTTCATGAGAGTAAGCAAAAAGTTTTTGTGCATAGGGTTATAAACGACTATATTTATTTTATTAGGACGACCCTCCACTAGGTGGAGTGACGATCAGTGCAAGTTTGCGGGAAGTCGATGGATGCAGGTCAGGATCGTGCTTCGTGGCAGTCTGTGGAGGAGGCCTGTGTCCAGCAGTGGTCTCAAACGGGCTGAAATGATGATGATGATTACGAAACATGAATATTACAACTGGCTATTGTAAAACCGAACATTTCCAGGTCCATATTAAAAAAAAACCCATATCGAGCTAGTAACGACTGGATATTGATGACACGATTTTTCACTCCATCTAATAAATACATCAACCGCTCCGCGTGAACCTCAATTAAAATTTCATTATATTAACAAGAAAACACTCCGGTTCGGAGTGGTAACTCCGACGTTGATGTGTCGAGCGCGAGCTATAATGGGCTAGCAAACAAAGTGAACGAAGAACTTCTCAAAAACTCTTTGTGCCGCTGTCGCTCGCGCAATAATTAGCAAAACATTTTCACTCTTTTGTTCCGTTCACACCCTACTGGATAAATTAGTAGCGCGTTGTTGTTGCCTTAGATTATTGTTTGTGTACGTGAACGCTTCATTTCATCATTATTTCATAATATAATAAATATTCTAGGACACATGATTACGCAACGTTCTCTGGTCCCATACTAAGTTAGTAACTTTGTTTAAACAAGCCTGTTAATCATGCGAATACCACATTTAATTGAAATGTCGTATACACCCATAATTGAGTTGGCATGTTTTTCCGTATAATTATTAGTGTACACTTAAATTTTATCAGTGTCCATTTCGTTGGTGTATCAAATAAATAAATAAATAAACAACGCTTGTATAACGGGTATTAGATAACTGATAAACATATTTAAACATACTTTTCTTTTATAAATAAATACATATTATAGATATATAACCACCCAGACACTAGAAAAACACTATGTTCATCACACAATATTTTTACAGCAATGGGGATCGAACCAACACCCTCTGGCGCAGGAGGCAGGAACTACCCACTACGGCATTCGGGTTGTCAAAACTAGTAGTAAAATGTAAAATTCCAAGACAAAATATTTAAATGGCACGTCGCTCTTAAATAGACATGATATTTAGAAAGGGTACATTGATATATTATAAGTGTCATGCCCCGTGTATTGTATGCATGTAAAATAAATGAAATGAACTTTCTTAAAAATCCTCCTTTATAATAGTCAAATTAGAATAACCCGTAAAAATAAAAATAGCTCTGACCGTGATAGGGTTGCACACACTTCAGTGTGGCACGAATGGGCAGGTCCGTCCGGGGAAGAACCACGACCTCACAGAAGACTGGCGTGGAGTGGAAGTATTTTGCTTTAGGATTTCATCTGATCGGTGAGGCAAAAGGGGCCCGACTATTTTAAAGGTTGCCGATACATCTGCTGTTCCTCAGATATTGTACATCTCCTTGGGCAAAGGTGATCACTGCATCAGTTGTACCGCTTGCTCACTTGAGACGTAAAAAAGTGTGTTTGTGTACTTATGTACGCACGTATGAGGTTAAACTTCTTTGCATTCATTTTTTTTCATTTTCATCTCCTGCATCAGTACTCTGAGGTTATGAAAAATACATTAAATGCAATTGCGTTGCTGCCTTGCCTTGCAACCAATGCCTATGATAACGGCAAAAAACCATGGATGTTGTATGGGAGCCCACTTCAATATTTTTTTTATTCTGTTTTTTAGTATTTGTTCAGACTGGTTACAGACGGACAGACAGGCAGACAGTAGTATGGGTCCCGTTTTACCCTTTGTGTACGGAACCCTTAAAATAGATTATGAAAGTTACGTTTTTCCACTTTAGCTGAAATTATAGTTGTAATAATTTGTTATGAACAATTAGTTTTCTTAAAAACATATAAGGTGCAGACATAGCAGACACATGGTAACTACAATTCCCAGTGAACTATAGTGATTATCTACTAGATCGTTCCACGATAAAACTCGTTCTAGTTTAATGGACATCCATGTTCGAATCGCTCGCATAAATTTAATGCGGTCGGATGCAACGCTCTAGTATGCCGTAACGAATCCAATTTACCTCTAAGCCCGTTCTAAAATAGATATTATTTGTTTTTCAACTAAAGCGTGTAAATACAAGGCTTTAAAATGCATATCTTTAAATTTCCCGTGGGCAATAATAACGCACAACAGTCCCTCAGATTCGTATTTAGAGAAACAAAAAGGAAACAATTAGAACAGACAATGATTTCTTGTAAATTTAAATTGTTTTTAGTGCTAATCTTTGCACTTAAGATTGAACATTAAAATATGCGGAAAAAGTACGAAAAGTATGTCGCCGCTGTGGGAATCGAATCCACGTCTTCGGCATTCGCGGCCTGACGCTTTAACTACTAAGCTAAACGGCTGATTGACACAACGACGAAAATCTTAACGTCTTTTATCTACATTGTTTTAATAAATAAACGAAAACATTACATTAATCATAAATTATACCAAAGGCAAAAGCGCGACATTAAAGAATGTCTAAGAGAAAATAAATGCTCAGATGACGCCACGACAAAGGGTTAATTTGAAATTCTCAGAAAAAGTCCCTTCAGAGTTGAGTTACGTTTCCAGCTCCCGACTATCGTCTGTTGCGATTTCAATGAATGGCGCTTTTGTAACCCCAGTGGAGGCATTAGCCTCCATCAGGTTGACTCGAAACTACTTCAACAATTATTAATCCTTTTCAGTTCCGAACGGAAAGTAGGTAGCGAGTCCTTTGGTTCACAATGAGCGGCAGAGAGGTTCAAGAGCAACAGATATTTTATAAAGCGCATTTTTGCTTTGCCTTGCCGTTTTAGATTGCTCTATGATATAGATAATCAGGTTTGATATGGGATGCCTTTCAGTCATTATAGCGTGGTGATAACTCAGACTAAGTGATCATAAAACCTTGACACGATTATATAAATAAAAAAAGCAAATATGTTCCAGCAAGCCAACGTGATTAAACCTCATTCCCGTCAGGCTACTTGAATTGTTCCATAAAATAATCCAAATGCCTATTGATTTTATTGGGTGATGTCAATTGACCGTACACAGTGCAAAAGACGGTGTGACCGTCCGTACGTCACTCATTTCACAGGCCCACTGAAAACCAGCGTCTCGTATCGACTGCAGCATTAGGCTGAGTGCAGTCTGTTTGCAGTATATGCTACTCGAGTAATTATCTGTGAAGTCTGTTTCATGATTATCAATACTATAATTTTCTTGCACTCAAGTATTGTTTTTATTATGCTTGTAGTTCAAATATTAAGATGTTCCAACTGTTCAATCCCTATTTGGTGTATTTGTGCAATACATTTTTCTTTATTTATTTGTACTTTATTGCAATTACCTTAATCAAGGATTACAAAGGGCGAACTTAATGCATTTAGGCATTCTCTCCCAGTCAACCCGGGTCGTGGAGACAAATTGTAGTAGGTGCAATAAAAAAAAGTTCATTACTAATGTGAATGAAATATGCAAGTAGTACAGCCTGAACGGGGAAAGATGCGAAGAAACTAGTATTATGTGGAGGAATAGAAATCTTGAGGTTAAATGAAGAACGGAGGTTTTTTTCATTGTTTACAGAGATTATAAATTTATCTTTAAGATAGGATGGTGAAGCTGGGTCGTTTAAAATCGAGCAAAGCATAAAGATAATTCTAGAATTACGTCTTTGTTTAACTGTAAGCCATTTAAGTCCAGTGCGATAGGTGCGATATGATCAAATTTTCGAAGGCCGAAAACGTGTCTAATACAGTTGTTATTGTTTTCTTTCTTTCTTTATTCAAAAGGGCATTTCAGTAGTCCGCAACTTTAAACTGATGAAATAGTGATGATTTTACCTCAGTAAATTTACATTGTTTTTCTTATAAAACATGGACTCTTCAGGACCAGAAAGTAGGACAATCACAATAAAAATCCATAGCTTTTTCATCGACAACCTCATATTGTCCTTATAATCATAATATTTTCCTCCGGAACACAGGAGAACCTTACTAGTGAAATATTTATAATAATTATCTGATATTGTATAACAGAATTGGGATGTGAATAACTAATAGGTATCTCTCTTTTGTTTCGAGCAGGACAAGGCGTTGGCGCACAACGCAACGGCGCGCGTTTTCCACAGCAACCAGAGCCTGGTGCTGCAGAAGGTGACGCGGTACAGCAGCGGTCGGTACGCGTGCTCGGCCCTCAACGCGGAAGGCGAGACGGTCTCCAACGAACTGCACTTCCGGGTCAAATGTGAGTAATTGCCTTAGAGAGGCGGACAGGGGTAAATCGCGGCGAGAAAGCACTCAACTTTCGACAACTCAGATATTTATCGCAATAAGTAAAGTAACAGCCCATCATGTCCCACTGCTGGGAAACCTCGTCTGTGCTGAGGAATTCACTGCGGATTGGTGGACTTCCCATATTTTCGAAAGGTTTAGTTATTATTTAGAATGTATGCACGTTTCTTCACATTGTTTTCCTTCACTGTTGAGTACGTGATAATCAGCATTTAAAGTTGACAATTTAGTTGGTGCCGGCACCGGGGATCGAACTCTGGTTGCTCGAGTATATTGAAGTAAAAGTGGCTCTAACCTACTACTATATAATAGTGCAATGGCTAAAGAGATATGAATTAAATTTTAAATAGAGTTATCTAATATTTTTTTTTGCTTTAGTGCAATTTGAGATACCTTTTTTATCCGATACATATGAATACGTTATGGCGAAAATGTGATTATGACATGGTAGTGAGCAAAGTCTTTTAACTTTGTATCTACATCGTTTAATTCTATAGATAAGGATGCTTTGAACTGAAATCTCGTTACCGTTATTTTAAAACGTTTGTGCCAATCGCACATTGCTGAGGGCAGAAATCTGCTCGCCTAGAAAACAATATAAATATCACTTCACGGTACATTTAGAACACGGCTCTTAATTGCAAAATCCATCTCAACGAAAATTCAAGATACACTTGGCACTGTTACCTCTGAGAACTGTTGTTTAATGCTCCATTACACATAAAAGGATACATAATATACGTATGAGTTCTTACTGCTAAAAACAGATAAAATAAGCTTTATCTAACCGTATGCTTTACCAAGTTACGTGTAATGTAAAAAACGAACCTGAAATGTTTTCATATGTTTCCACGGGAAAAAGAAAACACGCTACATTCGAAATCGTCGTTATTTCCTCCGTGTGCCCGTATACTCGTATATGTATATCATTATCCACGTAACAAGAGCTCTTTTGTGTTATTTCCATTTCAAAGCAAACCGCCTTATTAAAGTAAGGTCTGCAAATAAATCAAAGGGAAGAAATGAATGAAACATAGCAACAATAGTTGCCTAGGTTTTCACACTGTAAATGTGACCTGAAAACGTTTATAAAAATCATGTGGCATTATTTTGTAAGGTTTCTAGATTATTTTATTATTTTCTCATTTTCACTATATATAACAAGGCTTTGATATAATTTTAATAAAGACCACTCTTTCTATTAAAACAAGCCACTGCCTACGTGTTGGATCTACAATCGTATTTGGCAGGGTCGATTCGTAGTAGTGTGTACCAATTAATTTTAAGCTTTCAGTTTTCTCTCATGACTCTCATTATTAAGATTTTGTATACAAAAACTTCAATTATATTTTTTTATATGAAAAGTGGGCAATCAAGCAAGTGTTTACCGAACTTCGGTTCAGATGCCATACAACACGCGAAATATTCCCCCACTTCACGCCGGTGTTCCTTGAAACCGTGGCACATCCACTGACGAGCCAGTCTTCCGTATCGCTTCCTAGATTTAAAAGGCGCGAAGACTATTGGTAATTCAACAAAGTTATTCATGTCCTAGGGCACCATCAATATACTAAACTTCTACAATGGACCAAAGAAATTAAAGTATTTATATGACCACTAACATTAAAGATTGAAGCTCTAGAAATACTAGATTTCAGGATTATAAGTATTTTAGGAGCACTTAATTATATTTGTTATATTAGTAGTTTATTTATTTGCGTTTAATTTTAAATAACTTGTGTTAGAATCGTCTGGATAACCACGTAATAAAATCTAGTCTACTAATTGACCATGTTTTAAGACGTTTAAGTTAAAAAGCGAAATTATAATCTGTGGAATTGAATACAATTATATACACACATTATAACAATAATAAATAAGGTTACATTTTATAAAGTAACGTTTTGTTTCCTACAGTACTCTAATAACGTATGTTCCCCAATTACGTCCGTGTCTCTTTAGACTACTTTTGTACACATGTGAAATAAATGAACCAAAATTATCCATCGTAATTATTTTACAGTATAATGTTACTAAAGATTTTATTAAACGTTCTGGTAACCTATTTATATTTAATCGCATCAGTGGTGAGTTAGAATTTGATTTGTTTTCTTTATCGAATTAGACGCAGTTTCTATTCCGTGATCTCTGAATCATACATATGATAAGAATCAAGTTCTTCTAATTCCGTTATTTCTGAGCCTTATATACAAAGTAACTAAAGTTCTCCATGTAGTACATATCTGAGAGTTATTTCGGATATGGTACTGCCTCATCTTTGACTGTTGCACGAATATAGTAAACTTATGGCTAAGGCATATTATACCTACCATTGCGATACCATCTTGACGACGCCAATGTGTGTAGTAAATACTGTTGATACTCGCGTAGGTTCACGTGATAACGTGGATCTGTAACCACTATATTGTAAACTGAACGTTTTAAAAAAGAGCAACTGTTCAGTTTCTTGCCGGTTTCTTCTCAATAGAAACTGCCTCTCGAACCGATAACTCACAAACGTATTAATTTTAATGTAAGATTTTGACGTTTCATAAGAACGCGCAAGCGTCTATATGAACAAAGATATTTTGAATTTGAATGGGCAGCGTCGTCCAACGAAGTAGCAAGGGTTCAGAGACGACTGTTCTGGAATGGATGGAAGTATTATACTATCGCGTTTCGTCTGCTAAAAAGGCAGCCGGGAGTAACTTTTAAAGACTGATAACCTCTAAAATAACCGCTGTAAATGTTCATGTGCGGCAGTATTTACCGAACATCGGGTGAATCGCCTGCACAATTGCTAACTCTTCGCAATAAATACCAGTCACAACGTTAGGACCACGCAACAGACCGCTGTTTCACGAAAGGTCAGGTCCGTCCGTTGAAGTACCACGACCTCACAGAAGAGCGGCGTGAAGTGGAAGTGTAAACTTCTGCGTTTCCTCTGGTGAGTGAGGTAGCCGGGGCCCACTTTAATAGAAGGCGGCAACGCATCTGCAACCCTACGGGTGTTGCAGATCTCCATGGACTGCTGGCTTGCCACCTTCTAACATGAAAAAGTCTTAATAATACGTTTTTTATTTAGGTTTAAATACGGAAATATGTTTGTCAGTTTTGAATATACTTGTTTCGTACACGATTGATACGCATTTAATCCACTCGAGCTGGTGCTCATGGCTAGTTACAAATATGGGGCATATGTTAACAGTCGCGACCGTATTTCTAGTCAAAAAATATCCCGTATTTCTGCGCCCCTTGTAATGGGAAGGTCTTTGAGAAATTGATCGTGTAGAATTTTCACCCAACCAGTTTTCTCGGAAAATTTCTACACGTGCTTCGGAGCAGCACTTTCGTCTCCTAATGGTCCTCGCACTTCTTAGAACAACTTAAAAAGAGCAGACCTTTTCCATCGCACATGTTACTGGTAGAAATATATGCTAATTAAACATAATGGAAAAAATTGTGAGAAACTTAATGAAGTACTCAAGTATGCAGTGATTATTTGGTATTTAAAGATCTTTTATTGTGTATTGTATAACTTTTTTATGATCAAATCAAACTGTTTTAATGATAACATGGTCCTTTGTTTTGATTTTAGTTTCCCGACATTTTGTAGACGCTAGAGTTTTTGTGGTTACGGGACAGACTGAATTCAATTCCTATGTCTGAGTTAACTCTGACATATCAATTATTTCAATATTTATGATATCCCGACTTCGTATGCGTTGTGTCATATTTGAACAACATATTTTATGGGCAATGAAAAAATTATTGAAATTATGATAACTTTTTAATAATATTATCGTAATAATTGCGCATCTACAGTGAGCCAATCATCACCAACCATCAAACATCTAATAAGCAATAAGTTAAGTTGTTTCAAGGGTTTTGGCTATCTCTATTACCGTGTATTACTTTCACGAATGGAATGCTATTATCTCCGATTCGGCTTACCCTTATAACGAATAAATGGCAGATATTTCATGCCGTTCCTGGACATTTTAATGTTTTCCTCAATCAGTATAATCCTCGCAGAATTCATAGAGGTTCCTTTTCGGAGTCCACTTTTATAAATCACGAGTCAGGTCAACCTAAAACGACCGCGTAACTTACTGCCACGATTATACTTGGACCATAGTTACTCAAAGGGCCGAATGTTTTTTTTCCTAGAAAAATTTTCTCCGTTCATTATTTAAAATTACAATTTTGTACATTAATCCTATAAAATCATATATATGTGTTATGGATTGTTTTTCGAGGCAAAATAGAACGTCATTTTTAGTATCCTGTATTTAATTTTATTTAAATGGAGCACTTGCCTTATTATTTTTAATTCACACAGTACTATCAAAATAGCATTATCGTATTTGAGACGATAAAGACGTTCCAAGAAAAAGACGTTGGAATAGTTTTATTCGATGAATTTCCACACCGCTTGTATTTTTAGGCCGCGGCGATATTTGAATAAAACATTCCGTAAGAAAAAAAAAAGAAGATGCAAACAGGTTTAAAAAATAAAAGTCATCCCATTAAATTCCGTCAGCGAACAATGAAATCGTCGGAGCGTTACAACGGGCTAATTTAAAAAGATAATTTTTTTCCCGCCTTAAATTAACGAACAAAAGAGGACTAAACAATGGACGACGAGAACTTGCCTCTAAAGATTGTCATAATTAAATAGACCGCTGAAGCTGAAAACCATTTGCATAAATTTTATCATAAAACGAGTGTTTTGAGTTCACGCGGCGCTAAATATACGAAATTCGATGTTGGCCACGGTTTCCTTTGCTAATAATATTAACAATGAACCAGACAAACACTTCAAAAAACAAATGCGAATCGGACTCGCGCACCAAGGGTTCCGTATAGTTGTACTGGATCCGCAATTAAGTATATTTTTATTATGTTATTTACTATTTGCTTTTATAACGGCAACAGAGATACATCATCTGTGAAAATTTCAACTGTCTAACTATCACTGTTCATGAGATGCAGCCTGGTGACAGACGACCTGACACACAGACAGGCCGACAGCGAAGTAATATGGTCGTGTTTTACCCTTTGGGTACGGAACCCTAAAAACAGACAAAGGTCTTCTGTCAAATCATATCCGAATGCCATCCACCACTTGAGACAAAATCGGAGACAATCAAACCCAACGAACTAGAGCAGTAGGAGTTGAGTGAGGGCAGAGTGAGTAGTAGTCGCTACTTTCATCGAACTTGTTACAGACCAAAGTAGTGAAACTTTCGCCATGCGCCGTACAAATGCTACCCATATTGATAAAACCTCGCAACTATTTCGCTTTTATTACTAACTAGCGACCCGCCCCAGCTTAGCAAGGGTTTATTGTAGTATACATATACCCTTCATCTTGAATCACTGTAGTAAAAAAAACCGTATCAACATCCGTTGCGAAGTTTTAAAGATCAACGCATACATAGGGACAGACAGACAGCGGGACGACTTTGTTTTATACAATGTGATTAACAAGTTAGGTAACTGTAGCGCAGACTTTAATTTATTGGCAACGCATCTACCGCCCCACGGGACGCAAACTCCATAAACATAGTATAACGAAATTGATAATTTCAATTTGATGACACATTTTTAAAAAGATAAAGCCGTGATAGCTCAGTGTCCGGGCGCTCGCCTTTAATTCAATATACTCGAGCGACCTGACTTCGATCCCCGGCGCCGGCGCTAATGAAGTTTTTAACTTTAAGTTCTGACTTATCACGTGCTCCGCGGTGAAGGAAAACATCGTGAGGAAACCTGCATATTTTCGAAATAGTAACAAAAAAAATATTTTTCGAAAATATGTGAAGTCCGCCAATCCGCAGTGGGGCAGCGTGGATGCCCTGATACCCTGATACCTGTATAGAGGAGGCCTTTGCCCAGCAGTGGGACATGTATAGGCTGTTACTTTACTTTTTTTTTTAAAAGAATATCCGATTGCGGTAGGGCCAAGCAGCAGCTTCTGGCTGGCTTGATGTGGAAGAATTATAATTTCGCGTTTAGTCTTGTGCGTGAGGCCTTCGGGTCCACTTTATTAATGGCTATTAACGCATCTACTAATCTTCGCTTGTCGTAGATGTCCACGGCCGTCGGTACTCATTTAACATCAGGTGGTGGTCCACCGGCTAGCTTATCAACTTTTTCCAAAAAACCCTTTTTTGAGTTTTTAAAGTCAACGTTGACTTTCATATAAATTATAAATTCGGTAAGTATATATTAATGAGTGTTTGGGCACACGTACAATACATCTACTTGACTACATGCCCGCTGTCAGTTGTCCCTATGTATGCTTAGATTATAAAAATACGCAACGGATCTTGATGCGGTTTTTTTTCTTCTAGATACAGTGATTCAAGAGGAAGGTTTATTATGTATTATGTATTGCACGTGTGCGAAGCCGGGGCGGGACGCTAGTCTATTATAACATGCTGTTCTTATTAAAGTATTTTACGGATTAAATTGAAACTTGTTTGTTTTTGTTGTTATGGAACTATGTGATATATGGTTTATAATTGAATAAAACATTCGTCTCAAGTAAGAATGAAAAGTAGCTCTTTACTGACTAGCTGCCGTTGCGATAACCATATTTCAGAAAAGCTTTTAGCTTCTAGACGAATGAGATATCATTCCGACGATAAAGCCTTTTACGATGTTATTCCATTTTAAACGATATTGAAATTGAATTATGGAGTCCATAACAGGTTAATAAAATACGTAATGTCTTTCGCACTTTCGCTATAATGGCGAAACCCTATAAAGAAATAAAAACTGTAAGTATGTTAAAGATTCAATCATTAAATATAGTAGATAGAAATATAGACACTTTCTAATACAATACAATATGTATATAAGACGCAGACCAAACTGACCGGTCGCGAACACCTAATATTTATTTATTCTCATCAAATTAAGTTGAAAGTCAAGTACACGTACATATTCATAAAATAGTATTTATTTATTAACGTAGTGTAAGCAGCGGACGATGCGGGCGACATGGAAGAGCCCCATCTTCTGCATTCTAGCTCTGAGCGGTCCGTCACCGAGTACCAGTCGCCTTAAGTATTCAACTTACGATCTCGTGTGATTCCTTTAGCGTTAGGATCGGTGTTACCAATTTTATTACTACTTTATATAAAATCAGCCTGTGTTACTCAGGAATTGTTAACATCATTAGCATCGAAAAGCTATTCAGAATCGCTTCCGCAATTTCATAGATTGCGAATGATACGCTAGTTGTATATAATTCCGTAATCTGCAATTTTATTTTATTCGAATTAGTAGTATGAATACAGATAAAAGCTAAGCAAAGTTAATGCTAGTCTTGCAATTGTAAATAATCAAAGAAATTAATCTTCCTTATATCAGCATCATTTCCTTCGATTTTCGACGCAGAGAAAAAACTTCTACGTGGCATGCTTTGTTAATGCACAATAGGCGACAAAGATACTGAAATGATCTGATACGGTGACGCGGATGTATTGTAACCAGACAAAGCACAATACCGCGCATTACGAGCGATTTCTGAAATATTGATTTTGGTCAAGGTCGAAAATCTTTGTGCTATGAGCAACAGGATACAAACTAATGTTAAAGAATATGTTTGTATGTATATTATCCATGCGTTTTTTAACTATTCATTAATTTTTGATGATACTTTACTGAGCTATTCTGTTTCTGGCCCCGAAAGTGACCCAAAAAAAAATCATTTCCTTTATATTATTTTACCCTTTATTTAAAAAAAATAAAATAAACGGAACCGTTTTCCCAATGAGTAATGCCAGTATTCAATCAGATAAAGGATCTTCATAGAATTAAAAGCATTTTGAATTCTATGATGACTCTTTATCTGATCTAATATATTAAGTCGTTGCTTAAAGTACAAACATAATTAACTGATCGGAGAATCAGTAACTACATTCATTAATTCATCATTAAATAACAAAAAGATCGATCGCCACTTCCTTATAGCCCGAGAATTATAAATTTTAAATTATTCTTGTCTAGTCTTTGATATATTTTTCCGTTGAAATTCATTTTAGTGCTCATAATAAGAGCTACTAGATATAATATGTAACGTTACGACGGTTTTTTTTTTTGAGATTTTCCTTTGTTAACATACATATATTCATATGTGCAGATATGAAAATCTGTACAAACTAGAGCACGATATGGCCAGTACTGAACGTCAAATATTATGGCCGAAAAAGTAAATGCTACAAAAGCGTTATTGTTCGTGTTAAGTACCGAAAAAATTGTACCAAAAACCCGAAAAAACATAACAAAAATTTATTCACTCGGGAAAACATGAACTAAAATATTTTTGCTTCAGCAGGTAATGTATAGGGAAAAATATTGTGTGTTTCATTTTGTGTGAATGAATGAAGTGAATGATGTGTTCTAGAAATAACGTTGTCTCAAAAAAAGCTCAATTTTATTTTAGAATGTCAATGACTAATGGCTTTTGAACCGAGTTTGGTGTCTGCTAAGGTCTTTTATCCGCTAGTCGACATTTCTTTTCAACAGTTATGCGATACATTATATTTACCTTCGCTGTTGCACGAATGGGCAGGTCCGTCCGGGTAAGTACCACGACCTCACAGAAGACCGGCGTGTTGTATTTTCCGTTTCGTCTATTGAGTGCGGTGGCCGAGGCCACTTTATTTTACAGATGGCAACGCATCTGCAACCCTAAGGGAACACCCTCAGGGTGTTGGAGGTATTGACATGCAATGTTGTACGACGATTAATTATCAGTTGCTGTCTTATCATATAAAAAATAAAAATGCGTCTATTTCTCGTTCATGCTTCGCCCCGATCTGCCACGGGGTCGAATTGCGTTGTCACGTCAGACGAGCGGCGCACCGAAGCGATACGCGAAACGCTGCCTCGTTTGACGTGCGCCTACATCTGAAGTGCACTGCAGACGCCCCGTCGTGCCGCAGCGGCGGCGTGTCCGTGGTGGGGGCGGCGCGCGGCGAGTCCGTCGTGATCGTCTGCGAGGTGGACGCCGACCCGCCGGCGGCCGTCTTCAAGTGGAAGTTCAACAACTCCGGCGAGACGCTCGACGTCGCGGCGGACCGGTACACGTCCAACGGCAGCGCGTCGAGCCTGAAGTAAGTGAGCGTCCTAACGCCCTAATACTATTCCGATCTTGATACTTGATTGATCATCTTGATACTTGATTGATGATTTCAAAGTCACTAGAACGATATCGAAGCAAGCTAGCGTTAGGACATTGTTCCGATCTTGATACAATTTCGAATTTTCATTTATGTTTGATAAATTCAAATTCTAATATCTTTATTCAATATAGAAGCGTTACACTTACTTCTTGATTGTGGAAACGCTACCACCGGTTCGGATAATTATGGGGATATTACATTATATTATATTCACCGACTGTTTTATATGGAATCAACGATTGTGATGTCGCCATGACGTCGCCATTTTAATTAATGATAGGATTTTATAGTTCATGTGTGTTGTCTCCGACTTTTACTTTACTTTCATCTTAATTATTATTATTACTTTATTGGGGGGATATTCATTTGTTTTCTCGTCTGGTTGGGTTTATAAATAAAAATAAAAATATAGATATACCTATATTGCATATATAAAATAAATATTATGGATAAAAATAAACATACATATATAAATATTTTACATAATACATATATAAATAGGACCCAACCAGACGGAAGCCCTCTACAGGGGAGACCAAACGGCCGAGGGTTAGGGCGAAAGGGAGAGAAACCGGCGGACGATGCGGGCGGTATCGAGGAGCACCGCCTTCTGCATTTGAGCTTGGAGCGATCCGTCCCGGAGTCCCAGTCGCCTCAGATGTTTAGAGAGGCTGACTGGGATTAACCCATGGGCAGAAACGACTATCGGGATAATTTCGGTCGGCACTCCACCCCACATGTCGGTCACCTCGTGAGCCAGGTCCAGATACTTTGTCTTCTTATCTGTTTCGGCTTTCACGAGGCTTTCGTCATATGGAATGGTAATATCGACCAAAAATACCCACGACTGTGCCCGGTCCATCACCACGATATCAGGTTTGTTCGTGACAATCGTCCTGTCCGTGATGATGGGCCGGACCCAATAGAGCCTGGCGCGGTCATTTTCGAGCACGGCTTCCGGATAGTACTTTTGTAGTACGGCAGTTTTCGATCCACGAATCGCATAAGATGATCGAAAATTTAAATTAATATTTACGATGTGTTATAAATTCGGATAAGGGGTGGCGAGGTAGGCACACGCGCCTTGTAACGAACACATTTCTTGGAATTTAGGATTTGGAATGTTCACAGACTTATAACAAGTTATTGGTAACTTGGGTTACATATTATTTAATACGGTCGGATATTTTGTACGGAGACATATTCGTCATATGTAGCAACAAACCATTCCGGTCTCGTATATAACGTACCAAGCAACCAACTATTCATTCATCGCTCTTTATCAAAAATATTTGTGACAAAAACTATATAATATACATATAAAAGTAAGTAGAAAGGCCTCCTCTGTACAGAGAGTATCAGGGCATAGTACACCACGCGACCCCACTGCGGATTGGCGGACTACACATATCTTCGAAATATATTTTTTATATTATCATTTCGAAAATATGCAGGTTTCCTCACGATGTTTTCCTTCACCGCTGAGCACGTGATAATTGACCACTTAAAATTAACAATTTCATTGGTGCCGGCAATGGCAATCGAACTCAGGTTGTTGTTCGAGTATATCGAATTAAAGGCGAGCGCCCGGCGACATTCCTAATTCATGCCTCGATTTTGTATCGAACGGTTAAACGCTTTTACCATTAAGAGTGAGTTTTCGTTATTGTGGATATTACTCAGATTGAAAAAGTAATAATATTCCTTCGCTGAATGGGGAATGCAAAATTTAAAATTGGTCCGTATTTTCTAGTCGAGTACCATCCGCTCCTGGGTTATTTGATGTTTATATTTGTACGAGATTGTACGCGCACGTTATTGCGAGACGGTCGGCGATACTTGACTCGGAAATGCCAGCTGGTTTTTTTTTTTTCGTTCGCTTATTTATACATAGAGCACTCTATTAATAGAATTAGTGAATCCGAAAGGGTTCGCATATATTCCATGTGAAATAGCCTAGCTAGTTCCACTTATGTCCAATATAAATAACATCACAGTAGACGTGTCTTTCTTATGAAATTATTTACGTAGTGTAACATTTTGACTTCATCGCTCCGGTCAGTTTAGATAGCAAAAATGTCAAGAGACTGCGATTGATATATTTTGTTAGAGGCTACGTAGGTTGGTTTTATAGGTTAGATTTTCAAGATTTGACTATATTAAGTTTAGTATTATTTAAAACTTTTTAGTGCTAATAGAGTTTTTTCAAGTCGTTTCTATTTTTTTTTAATTCCGACAATCCTTTTCTGACAATTGCCTGAAGGGACATCTGTTTGCCTTGATTTATTATGCCAGTTTGCTTTTGGAGCTCCACTGGAGCTTCAAGACCATGAAGGCAAAAGGCACGGAGCCTAAAAACGCTAAATCAGTGTCCATAACCCCAGATACACGCCAGTTGCCGACCTGGATTACGGAACCCTGTCCTGTTCTGCGTCAAACGAAGTCGGGACACAGCTCGCGCCGTGCGTCTTCCAGATGGTGGCAGCAGGTAATTAAAGCATAATATTTTGGATAAATTGATCACCGATAATTTTATTTTGGTTTTTTTAAAAAACGTTTTTAAAAAATGTTATCCTGTGCTATGTTATCAGATGCGAAACAACTAACCGTTGTCCCGTGCAGGGATCGAACCCACGACTCCCGAAGTCAATACCTTAGCAAATACGGCACGGAGTAATCTTATCATCATCCGTTGAAAAAAATCAACTAAGTTCATTTCACGCGAGCGTTAAATCCACGCCATTGAAATCTAAGACTATTACCAATTACAATTTACAATTTACCATCAGAAATGTCTTTATAATATAATGCGGAACATGTATTTTGATAAATATATGTTATTTTTCATCAGGACCAACATTTCTGTCAATAACTCACGATCCCGAAGGGAACACAAAGGCGTACTTATCAAAAATATTATGTTATCGTAAAATCCTAATACAAATGTTATCTATTTTCTTCCAGGATGTTTAAATAAAAGCGACTATTACATTCACAAATTAACAAATCATTTCATACAAGGTATACAAGCAACAATATAATAATAAATAAGTATTTTATATCATTACTATTTCATTATAAATAAAAAATATTTTCATTTATTAAATATTTTCAGACACATTTTTACACAACGTTCTATAGTCCCTAACTAAGAAATGCCTGTACTATGGATATCATTAGAAAACTGATAGACATACTCAAACATACTATTCTTTTGTTAATAAATACATATTATACAGTCATATATAATGACCCAGGCACTGGAAATACACTATGTTCATCACACAATACTTTTCCGGTAGTGGAGATCGAACCCACACCCTCTGGCGCAAGAGACATGTGCACTATTCCTCACGCCAATCGGGTGGTCGAATATATTTTATTAAATTATACTACCAATTTATTAAAAGAACCTTTTATAGAAGCACATTGTGAAAACTTAATGCCTACTCAATTTACTTACCAACGTATACGAATCTAAGCCAAGATCATCAAGAACCACTTTGGTGCAGGTAAGCCACACGCGCCGCGAAATTGCACGCTCTGGAACCAGACGGCAGACTCTGTCGAGGTCTCCTGCGTGGCCGGCTTCGACGGTGGGCTGCCGCAGAGGTTCTTCCTCGAAGTATACTCCGGGGATGACCTTGTGCCCAGGTACCAAATTTGTGTGGTCAAAAGGCAATAAGCCAATTTATGGTTTTGTTTACTTATAAATTTAGGGTTTTATTTACTTCTATTAAACCATAATCCATATCAACTTTATAAATGCGAAAGTAACTATCGTCTCGCATTCACACCAAAACTACTGAAGCGATTTAAATGAAATTTGTTACTCAGATAGTTTAGAGCCTGAGAAAGGACATAGGCTCTTTAATTGAAAAAAATGTTTTAAAGGGTTGAAAATTTCTAACTGGTCAAATTTAAGTCGTGTGTACAGGACAACGTCTGTCTAGTCTAGATTTTTATATATATTTCTAGCTATATATATTTTAGTATATTTCCCCACCTCCACACCTCTCCACTTACGTATGATTATGATACGTCAAGATCAATTTGTTTGAAGGTGAAGATGACCGCAGGCAGTGCCCTAAGGAAAAATGAAATTGTAGCATACTCCATTAGCACTTATTTTCTTTAACGTAATAAACAGCAAAGTTCAAAGTCTAATCGAATCTAATAGGGCTGGCGTAAATAGTTAACAATTTGAGACTATGTTGTCTCATTAAAAATAAAAGTATCTGAATTACGAAGATGTCTCTCTTTATAGCGAGTGATACGATATAAAGTCGGAGGTAAACATCTCAAGGACAAAATAAAAATCTATGCATGGAACAATTTCTGTTGGAAAATTTTGCTTTCATTTCGTCTGACGCTTTTCTCGTTCTAACAACATCCAGACAAAGGGGATTACGAATCTCGAAAGAGCAGCTTAATTAAAAAATAATTCCCCCAACCCCCCCCCCCCTACCTCCGCCCCCCATCCGCAAATAGCAGATTTCGCAAATTGGCCTGCGCCAAGGGAAGTTGCGAAATAAACGTGAGTTACGGGCCCTCGTCGGAGGTGTTGGGATGAAAAAGGGTTCCATGTAATATTAAGCGTGTAACGCGGATCTTGCGAAGGACGGACGGCCCTCGAGATGAATACGCCGACGGTACATCAGCGGACAATGGCCCCTAACGAGGATTTGGATGTGCTCGGGAATTTTCCACCGACCTCCATTCTTATGGAGAATAAAAATGGCCAAAGTTTTATTTTGTCGCCGCTCCCGCTCCCGCCCCGAGGAATTCCCCCCGTAATTTTTATTAATGACGAACGCTTGTCGAGAATTCGTCCGTCATTATGACGCGATACAAGTGAAGGCCGCACTATATAGGACGTCGCCCGTCGTCTAATAGAAGATTGTGGTAATTTATTAAACTGGAACTTTACTTTGCTCGGTGTGTTGTCCCGGTTTATAGACATTAAAATCGACTTATAGAAACCTATTACATCTTTTGACATGTTTAAATTGTTGTCAGGTTTACGGATGTTTATAAATCTGTTTTAATTGTTCGTTGTTTTAATCACAATACTGGAGCATCAACATCAACAAATATATTGCTTTAAAGCGATATCTGCTATAGATTCTATTGACAATGAGATCATAGGTCTACTCAAGATCCATACGTTTCGCGCTTTACCATAACTTCCCAACGGTTCTTATGTTAAAAATAATCTTCCTTAAACTATTATTTCATCGATACCATTTCAGTTTCGGTATAACGTGACTACTACTTCTTAGTTCCCCATTGGTCTATAGCTTTTATCAAATTGTGCTTAATCCATCCAGCCCGATTAGGTATTAAAGTAAAGTAAAGTAAAGTAACAGCCTCTACATGTCCCACTGCAGGGCAAAGGCCTCCTCTATACAGAGGGTATCAGGGCATAGTCCACCACGCGGCCCCACTGCGGATTGGCGGACTTCACAATCTTCGAATTTTTTTTTTGTTATTATTTCGAAAATATGCAGGTTTCCTCACGATATATTCCTTCACCGCGGAGCACGTGATAAGTCAGCACTTAAAGTTAAAAACTTCATTGATTCAGGTTGCTCGAGTATATTGAATTTAAGGCGAGCCCCCGGACACTGAGCTATCATGGCTTAAGTATAGCATTATCCTGCTCTATCCAATGCCACTTAATTCGTAGGGTGAACCTTTCGTCGGAGGAGCCATCGTGGACGGTCCGAGGTTTGGAGTGGGACGTCCGCTTTCGACTGGCCGCAGTAGCTGTTAACAGCAAGGGACGGTCACCGCCAGCGCATCTCGACGACGTGCTTTTTCGTGACCCCGAAAAGCGAACGGGTAAGATCAAACGAACGAAATTGTATTATTCTAATAATAATATGTTGGATTGTATTTAGAATCTGTCAGTGAAAGGTGTTTTAAAAACACATTCGACAGGCCTTTGTGGGATTTGTGGCAGTGCGTTACATTTATGTTTTCGCCCGAATACATTATTTGACAGTAGTAGGTGCCGCCTGTCTAAGAGACGAACACCGAAAATTGTTTCTTACTTTCTGTAATAGTTGACGTGACTGATGCTGAATATTTTACTACATTTTTATGTTAGACATTTTTTATGTTAAATAAGCTTTTCAAAACGTATTAGTATTCTTTAGTGTATCATCCCTATTTTTACAACTACTTATTTAAATAAAAACATAACAAGCTACGTTTTCAATTTGAATGAATGTACAGTTAATTACTAACTTTTACACAGGCAACATAGATTTACTCTAATAAACAATTATGATATGAAAAGCGTTATTGTGTGACACGATATAAAAAATTCGCAATGAACTAACAAAGACTAATTGTACATAACACTGAACTCTTATAATGTAGGCGTAGTTTTCTACCCTAATCCTAAACATCGAATCGTTTATCGTTTTCCACAAAGTCCATTCAAGTTTTCTTCGCTTCGGAGCACTCTGTAACTCATAGGTTAGCGTACTCCGACAATCAATATTATTCAGCGAGGGGCCAACATACGTTTGTGTAGCGAATTTGGGACGTTTCACTGATTTCTTTGACGACCTCCGGTTTGCCCTTCACGAGAGCACTTAGCGTGTAACTTGCGCGCCGCTCGTACTATGAATAATGGAAAATAGTAAATTTGTTCGTAATTTTCTTACATTGACTATATTTTAGCCTACTAATGTTGTTGATTTAAAAAGTGTTTCTCGGGCGAAAAGGTCGACTTCCACGCAATAGTACGAGCTTAGACTATTTTTTATTCGAGAACGGTGTACAATTCCTATTTTTTTTTATTTATTTAGTTTCCTAGGTATCGTATTTTAACACTTCCGTTTAGCTGACTTATAGCCTACAAAAACTAAATACACTCAAGTGGAGCTTCCTATGCCAGCTATTTCCATTCAAACAATCATGTCCATCCATTTTTAAGTATTTTTTTTTTAATTTTACTAAAGGTTGTGTTATCGTTGCTCAAGTTTAAAAAAAGTGTCTATGAAATAAGACGAAGATAAATTCAATGAAATCCTCGCACTCACACTCACCTACTCTTTTGAATTCATTTACTGATGCATGATTGATTGTCTTGTTTTTAAAACTTCGTAACTACTTGCGTTTATATAAATAAAAATGAATTATTCTAAACGACGAACGTCATTGAATTGATTAACCTCACAGAATCCATTTAGAAAAATATAATCAAACATAAAAGCGCAGGGCCACATGTCGAGTGTCAGATATATCGTGAAGGCAGTCACAACCAATCTAATAAGGGGATCGCTTTATGACTAGGGTTACGTTCTTCCATTTTATATAAAGTATTTCAATAATGCCCACCGACGTTTACCGTTTTAACATACTCGATACAAAAACATGTTTTTTTTTATAACGGATACGGACTTTATTGTTATTCTGCTAGTAAAATACTAATAAGTTTTAATAATAATAAACAAAATAAAGGTAAAATAAATAAAAATGTGCTTTTCTCATTGAAATGGCATGTGAGTGTCAAAGTATTAAAAATTGCTATAAATTTAATCCTAAATTGACCAAACTTAACAAGCTCACGTAAATCGAGGTTTGTTTTCAGGTCTCATGAACGCCAGAAATTGCTACCCAGTCACTTATTTAGACCGATAGAGAATAACCGGCAAGAAACCTTGAGATCTTTTATTATTATTTGAAAATGTAGCAAATAGCCCTGAATTCGTTAAGTGACCATGAGAATTCGCAATACATGCGGAGTTCCAAATTGGCCTGCCTTTACTATAGCAATAGGTCGAGAAGGACATATCGTTGACGACAACTGATTTCACAAAGAGTTTGTACAGGATATTCCGTTAATAATGCGTGGTGATTGTTTTATCAATCATGCTAGTATCGATTGTATTAATGTTTATAGCGTTTTACGGGGGTTAAACTAGCAGAGGTTATTTTCCCGGACAATCCCATAGAGGTCGTTGTCGTTGGGAGTAACAGCCCAAGCTGAGATCCTCTCGGAGGCCCTTGAGCCTAGTCACTTCATGGAGCGTCCGCACAAAGCGCCATAAGAGCTTGGCGGCCTCCCAAACCGGTGATAATAATAGCGTGACGTCCCGAACCGAGGCTCCTTCGGGAGACCTCGAGCTTAGTCACCATAAGGCGTAACCGAAATTCAGGCATGCCAAAAAAATTCTAAACTGAAGCATTCTTTGAAGCGTCTGAGAGCGCGCTGGGCGCGGGAGCGGCGGGGGCGGCGAGCGCCGGGGCGGCGGGGGCGGGGGCGGCGCTGGCGCTGCTGGCGTGCGCCTGCCGCGCCGCCCGCCGCCGCCGCGCGCCCCCGCCCAAGCCGCCCGCCCCCCGCGCCGACAAGCCGCCCGAACACGACGACGCCGAGCCGGACCTCATACCGAACAACTACTGTGAGTAACGCCAAAATTGAAATAGAGAACACGATTGGGTACTACCGTGGCCCGATGACTCGACGGCGCCGTTGCTAAGCTATTGGATGCGGCGTGGAGGGTCGTGGGCTCGATTCTCACACGGGACAAGTATTTGTTGTCATACTAATAACTATCCCGGATCCCATGGAGGGTTGACGTCAGGCTGGCCGGCATAGCCGCTTACAACATGATTCATATGTAGCACCGACCCCACCTAGGTGGGATAAGGGCAGGAGGATGATGACGATGATGGTTACCACTGCCTGGGCATATGGAACATTTTCTTTCTGTGAGAAGGTGGCAAACGAGCTGGCGGTTCACCTGATGTTAAGTAATAACTGCCATTGATATTAGCAACACCCGCAGTTAAAGATGCGTTGTAAAATTAACCTATCACAAGACGAAACGCAGAAGTGCAACACTTCCACTTCACGCCGGTCTTCTGTCAGGTCGTGGTACTTCCCTGGACGGAGCTGCCCATTCGTTCAACAGAGAAGACTGTTGCGTGGCCCTACCTAACCTGCTATCATATACAACTGCCGGGCTAAAATTTAAGACGAACCTAATTAAAGTAGTAAAATGAAATACTGTTAAGATTTAAAAATATTTGTATATACAGTTTAATAATAAAAGTGATACATGAATTAACATTTGGTAAAAGGAAAATTAAACATATTAATAAACTACACGGAAAATTAAAATAATATATTAAACATGCTTTTCGTAGAAAAACCCTCTAGACTCTTAATGACTGCTTTCGCCAGTCAAGACGAGCAATCGGCTTATTGATTGTCACTTGAGTAATATTATCGTTCCAACTTTCATGTAAAGCTTTCCAAATTTCTTCATGTGAAGAGGGACATTTATTTCAAACATTTCTGTCAAGCTCTTCGCATAAATGTTCAATTAGGATAATATCTGGATTTTGATATATGATATATATTTAACCCGCCATTTTTCTCTTATTGTTTTATTTATTTATATTATTTATTTTTAAAGTAATTAATGAATAGTAGTGATAAACGTATAGCAATGACTCATGTTCGACTCTTTTGAAATAGTACACATTTATAGCAGTTATTCATAGAAATATAAAACAGAATGAGCTCTCTATAACAACATTAGAATGCAGGTGGGTAGAGTTTTGTTTTGTATTGCCTGTATTTTTAATCTATAGTAAGTAAAACTTTTTAAAAGTGTTTTTAAACTTTTGGCCAGTAATCTATATGATAATAAAGATTAAATCCTGATTCAAACACATGGCTTTTGCACATGGAAACATGTTATTCTGTAATCGATTCAATATTAATACTGCATTAGTAAAGCACACACAAATAATATTTATATGGCTGACTATATCTACAAAGTAATCCTAAATGAGCGATAGACTATGGAAACATAAGTATGAGCAGATAATATGATTGATGAATCAGAAAAACTTGTAATAATCGAATGAAACGACAAATAGTAAACGTTTTATTGTCAATGAATTATTTTAGAATGTGCCCAAACAAAACTTGAGTTATGTAAATAAACATCCATCAGAATAACTCCACGCGCCAACCACGTCAATAGACTATAGACGCATGATTTGCATACCTTTGTGTCCCTTGACCCAAAAGTAAAAGATAATTGTGTTTTATCAAACGCGAATGAAATTAAAACGTAATTGCCAATAGCGACATCAATGGCGTGTCGATCGAAAACAGATTAACTGCAAATTGCAAATATCGTGTAGAAAGCGACGATGCGTTAAATGCAGCAATTCAGATGGTAAATGTTTTACAGTTTACACGTTAGCGAGTTTGTTTTCGCTTATTATGTAACATAAACTGTTTACACCATTTCGAACGATACGATATTTTCATTATATTCCTTACTGAATCCACTTGAACAATCCTTTGTTACCTAAAGGGTCAGATTGACTTAGAAAAAGCTTAGACAGCAACTGATAACCAGCGAGTATGCGAAAGTTTATGTACGATTATTGATGTCTACAAATGCGAGGACACTATTACTGTCCTTCCAGTAGTGCGTTTAACGACCGGTTTCAATATTCTATCTATGTGTAGATTTGGTTAGAGAGACAAAATATTGACTTAAGTATTATGGAGCTAAATTAACCGCTAATTTAACCGCTAATGTAACCAAGTCCACCGATAACTTATAGATACAATATTGAAAAGGTATATTTACACGCACAAACGGATTACACTCTTCATACTTAAATATTTTTTTAGGTGAAAGTTAAACAGCAATGTGTGGGAGCAATATTTCAATTTGAATGATTGATCGAGAGATTTATAAAATTATAAATTATTAAAAAATATTAATTTAAGCATTTTCAACGAGAACACTAAAATAAACGTGACATTATTAAATTTTTGCGAAACATTTTTAATTATCGTTTATAAACTTTCGAAGCTTTATAAATGGTTTAATTTGATAAAAATTATTCTGAAATATCTACAAAGTTTGAACTCCTGTGGTTAGGCCAAGTAGAAACACAATATCAAAAATGATTTTAAAGTGACGCTGACTTTAATGGAACCACTGTCTTAACTTTTTAGATTTTAAAACGCGCTGTGCTATAAGCTAGCTGTTTGTAACCTTTTGAAAATTTTGTACGCTCAGGCACATAAATATTTTTTAGTTTTAATAACTTTCTAGTTTGAAAATAAATGCTTAAAATAACATAATGATTCCCATAAGACATTTGAAACTATCAGTCGCTTATATTTTTTTAAAACGAAATACGCAAAACCTTCCAAATTTTACATTCGTAGAACAAAAGTGTATGAAGTTTTAAGAAAGTTTATCTTTCTTACCTTTCAATTTGACGAGCCGATTGACGAGGGGAGTAGTGACCCTGCCTCTTGCACGGGGTGTGGGTTCGATGCCCAATACTGGAAAAATATTGTGTGTTGAAAGTAAAAACATAGTGATAATTTTTCCAGTCTGTGTGTTTGTATAAATGTGTAATATGTGTTTATTAAAGGAAATTATGTTTATTAGTTTTCTAGTATCCATAGTACAAGCGTTTCTTAGTTTGGGACTAGAGAACGTTGTGTAGAAATGTGTCGGAAAATATTTATTTATTCAATAGTTTTGCGACTTCCATGAGTTAGACCGAGGAAATTGAGAAACCTTCAGCGGTCTCTCTACATTGTGTAGAGTAAATCAAACTCAGAGTATATCTCGGTAAGAGGCCATTTACAACTTGTCCTTTGTTTGCGTCCGGTCATAGAAGTTGATGTTTGAACTGTACATTGTATATTAATAAACTTCTATAACGCTTGGATTATTTCATGTGTATCTTTCCGTATAAGTGAACTGGCGTTTAACCGCAGCTCTTGTTTTTGTTATCGAAATAACAAAATATTGTTGCGAAACGATAAGCAAATATCGGATAAGCAATATGTCGGTTGTGATAAGTAGAAAAACGTACACGTACGGAACCCTAAAAATACAAATTTAAAATGTAATACATATTAATAAAGAAAGTAACGGTACAAATTAAAATCGCGCCACCCACATGCCAAGCGGTTACATCGCTGATAATGTTGGAACTGCTTCCGCGCCTACGAATTGCGCCACTAATGGTGGGGGTCACATAATTTTTAACCGAGATTCAATTCCACACAATCGGGCTATTAAGTTAATAGAAACGTCGCTGTCGCGTGTGGCACGCTACTGAACCTATGCGTCTTTCGTTTCGTATTTCAAACCTTCTGACAGTTTCGCATTCGTCGAAACGCTTTCGGACTGTGATGTCACGTGACGTGTGCAAAGTGGGGATTTCACTAAACGAAGCGGAAAATAGCGTTATATTTTTGCGGTGTTAGCTGTTTTCCAAAATAGAAACAGTTATAGTACGGTCTTAGAACTATAACTGGAATTTTTGTCTCGTTTGCTTGATAGTTTGTTGATTTAAATTTGGCGCGGAAATAATTATCCCTATATAAAATTCTAAATAGGGTAACAATTAAAACTAATGAAGTATAGAAGAGACTCAATAACCTTGTATCTTGCACAGGCTTGGAATGTGCATCTAGCACAAGGCTAGCAAATCTAGCCAGTGCAAGATAGCACAGTGGTTCACAAATCTAACTGGCCTCGAACCCACCTAACAAAAACTTCCAATCACACGCATGTTTATGCCGATTTAGAGAAAAGAGGACAAAAAACTGGTAATACTCAGATTCCCTAGAGTCATCGAATTTTTCGAATCGCATTGAAATTCGATAGTCCGTAGTCGACACCTTAGAGCACATTCGTGGCCCTACCAACTGTGGAAGGCCTCAAACCCGTGGGTTCTGGCTAGCCCACCGGTTCTGCGATCAGTGAAGCTTTAACAGTCTCGGGACTGAAAGCATTAACATCAGTTAATACAAGAAGAGGGACTAATAAGCCGTTAAGCGGAACAGCCGGGGAGTCGTTACCGGGATCGGGCATCGGAGCTTCGCGCTTATCCAGCCGGTGCACATACGCGCGGCAGTTAGCCCTGACGAAGTGCCGCTTAGTGAGGCCCCGAGATGCTTAGACTTGATTTAGCTTAAGTGTTGATCCCCTAATACGCCGTTGGCTGCGACACTGCAGACGGAAATCTAACCGTGCATACGTTTACTTAAGTTTTATGCGAAGAAGCATGCTTGCAGCAGATTCTTAGTTGGTATTGTTGTTTTTCTATGCATCTATCGGTATGTGCATATGTACGTATGTATATATAATATAAGAATAGTTTTCTACCGAGTTATACTCTACATGAGTTCGCTCTTACTTGCGCGCTCCATTTCTAAGGAATAGGGATGTTTAACAAATGTTAATGTGGTGATTCAAAAGATGATAGACATGTATCGTAACCGCTAATTAGTGAGGAATCTTAGGAAGGTTTATACTTTCACCAGTGCACCGGTGAGTTCCGAAGGATATCTTAGGGCCCTCCCAACATAAAGAGGGTGGCCAACACGCTTAATCGG